CCCAGGTATCCCTTTTTGGCAGAAAATATACAATGTCATGCAGATTTTTGTATAATCGGCTCCCTTTCAATTCATGTTCTTATTCATCTTTCACTCTATTTAGACCATCCCACATTCGCATTGTCAATTTTTCAAATGTGTCTCTAGTTACTCTCTGCGCTTTTGATCATTTATTTGAAATTAGCACATTTTAAATATTTTAATATTATTACTATTATTATTATTATTATTATTATTATTTTTATTATTATTATTATTATTATTATTATCTTACTAGTGGGCCCCCCCCCCACATTGAAAAACGTTCCGCCAGCCCTGGTTGATACAATGCATACGTACTATACTTATCAAATTTGGGCTTGTCATGCAAAAACCAGCATCAGTGACAAAAATACGACAATTTTGTTTGTTTGTTTGTTTATTATTTATTGCCCTCATTATTATAACATCAAAACAAAAAAATCATGTACATAAATACACAAAAATGAGAGCAAGAGGATAAACCTATAAGCTCTATTAGCTTGTTTCCATAGGTCCTAAACCAATAAAAAGAGAAGCAAATAAAAAATTTAAAAAAAAAAAATTATGTTTTTATTAAATGTTTTTTTTTAGTAAATATTTAAATGTATTATGGTTTTCAATTTCCCTTAAACAATTTTGCAATTCATTCCATTTTTTTATTCCATTATAGTAAGATTTTTTGGAAACATAAAATTTTTTGTTACACCTCGTGTTCTATAATTGTCTTCTTAATATACGTCTCCCTCCAATTAAAGACCAGTTTTAAGACCGGGGTTTCCATGGTCTTTAGCAGCTTTGGTCTGTAGAACAATAAAGATAAAAGACATAAGTTAATTTGGGACCACAGAAAAGTTGGTCTTTAATTTGAGGTGGTCTTTAATTGGAGGGGTCTTTAATTAGAAGGAGACCTGTATTCATATTCTCCTAGTCCAGTCCTCAAGGGTACAAAAAGGTGTATCCTGAACATAACCTTTAAAATGATAGGTCATTTACTGGAATGTACATACTATTGCCAAAGATGTAAGTATTACAGCTTGCTTCTCCGTACTACAGTATATAGTACTGGCACATTCTTATGCTAATTACTCAGTTTAACAATTAGCGACAGTACGCTGGTTTTGAGATGGCAAGCCTCATTTTATAGGTGTAATTTTTGCCCTACCTGACGTGGAAATGTACCGAATACTCAGTACATTTGAAAACACCTGCGAAAAAAATCGCAAGTTGTTCTCGGGTGGGACTCGAACCCACGATCTCCAGATCACTAGCCTGGCATCATACCTCTAGACCACCGAGCTTGCGCCTGATGGCCAGGGTTGAATTCGAGTCCAAGTAAGCAGCGGGTACTGCAGTGTTGATAGTAATTGTTATTGTCGTGATGGAATAATAGACAATAACTGAATTTGAGTCAGGCTCCTGACGCAAATCCAGTTATTGTCTATGAGTCAATAACTGCTATTGTCTATTATTCCATCACAACAATAACAATTACTATCAAGCCTCATTTTAACTTTTATTTCCACACTAAACGTATCTAGAGAAAGATACAAACATTTCCCTTAAAAACATGCTGTTTTTCATGAGCTACAAGCTTAAATAAAATAGAAAGGTCAGTTTTCAATTGTTTACTTCTTATATTTGATTTCAATTGAAAATTAAAACAAGAAACTATGTTTTTTTTTATGTATTACAAAAAATAAAGTTACGCAGGTCTTATAAAGTTTAAAGCTTCCAATCACATTTATATAAAAAAATATGATATCTGAAACTGGTTGTGTTTTGTTTTTGAATACATTTGACTAACAATTTCAATTCACTTTTTGTAATGAATAGGAAGGTGATGAAGGAGAACATATTGAAATACTGCCCTCTACTGACAGTCAACAGCCATCTGAAAGAATCACAACACCATATATGACAAAGTACGAACGCGCTAGGGTGCTCGGAACAAGGGCATTACAAATAGCGTATGTTAAGTGTTTATTTTAGTTTGAAAGTGATTTTTTTTTATAACTTTGAAACATTTAAAACAAAGGTAAAGATTGATTGATTGATTGATTGATTGACTGGTTGGTTGATTGATTTATTTATATTATATTGATTGCTTGACTGATTGATTGATTGCTCGGAACAAGGGCATTACAAATAGCGTATGTTCAGTGTTTATTTTAGTTTGAAAGTGATCTTTTTTATAACTTTGAAACATTTAGAACAAAGATAAAGATTGATTGATTGATTGATTGATTTATTGATTTATATTATATTGATTGCTTGATTGATTGACTAATTGATTGATTGATTGATTTCAGTATGAATGCACCAGTGATGGTCGAACTTGAAGGGGAAACAGATCCACTTGAAATAGCTATGAAAGAACTGAAGTGAGTATCAATGTAGAAAATATCTATTTCATTTCATTTCATTTTATTCAGCAATTAAAATCAAGATTACTTGAAAATAAAACAAATACAAAGAACAGATAAAAGTACTTTTTATAAAAAATTAAAAGTACTTTTATAATAAATTAAATTAAAATACTTTTTATAATAAATTAAATTTAAAAAAATTTAATACATTATATATTACTGATATTGATCAAAAAGGAGAAGGGACAGGAGATAGTAACTAAGAAATTCATTTCAAAATAACATTTTAATTTTGAAATGTATAATACTGTATTATGTTAAATTATATGTTTATTTTATTAAGGATGTTTTGTTCGAGCTTTAATTTTCTTGTGTGGCTTTAGTTACGTGTTCTCTAACAAGATCATTTTCTTATCATTTAGAGCAAGAAAAATTCCAATTATCATTCGGCGATACCTTCCAGACGGTAGCTTTGAAGACTGGGGTATAGATGAGTTAATAATTGACCAGACATGAGTGACCATTTTGGTGGTTAAGCTAACCAATTTACACCTGCTGCAAACAATTCTGGGTGATTGTACTAAATAATGAGTGACTGCTACAACAAACTGTACCAATGTGTAACCTGAATCCTCATTACGACTAAGCTGTGCCTACTGTAAATGTTCCAATAAGTGCAGCAGCACTTATAACATTTTTGGAGGCTTCAGAGTGGCGCTTATTTCAGAGAATGACATTTGTTACACATTTTTGTAGTGCTATAATGGTACCTTCATGATTATATGCATAAGCCCATTCGATATTTTGTTAATATTAATCTGTGAAATCTAAAATCGGCTAATAGTTCCTCCATGATACAAAAAATCAAAGCATTTACTCTTAATTAAGCATCACAACATCTGTTCTTTAGTAAACGCTGTGGTGCCTATGCAAGGGAAATGGAAATAATTTTGGTATGTTGCCTAATTGAGAGCACCGTTTATTTGAGAGAGGCGTTTATTGGATCATTTACAGTACTGTATAATTATTGGCTTTTGTTTGTAATTTGTATAAGCCAAATGAATGACATTTCCACATGAAAAAGTAACATTTTTAGTAATAAAATTTTAAAGTGAAAAAAAGTTTAATTTTTTTTTTTTATATTGTGAATAGGAAACAAAAGTTTGTGAGATAAAATTAGTTGAAGCTTGGTTTTAATTCTGAATTTTATCTCAGAGATTCTGGATCTCTTGATGTTAGTTTCGCTCGTGGCCTTGCACACCCTTGTGTCTCAGTCAGAGGAGGCGGGGGTTGGGGTGGTACTATACTCATGTTGTATGATTGGGGTGTACATAATTATGATTATTTAAATTTGGCATGACATGAATGAAAACTGCACAGATAACGAGAGTAAGGATTGGGAAGACTTGACCTAAAGTGGTCCAAATAATGTTTAAATGTTGATAACGATCCTGCTTATCATCATTAAAATTATTACATTATTATTACTTTTCAAATAATATAAATTTTAGGTGTTATTATTTTTATTGTCATACTGTAATTATATATATATTTTTTTTTTATCGTTATCATCATCGGAACTATTACATCGTCATTATGAATCATATTTAAAAATTTGCATGGCGCCACCTACGCCATTTTATGGGTTACTTTGGTTACCAACTGGTTACCAAGGCGTCACTAAAGACAAACTTTGCGCTAGCGTACCTTTTCCTTTTTCTCATTGGCTAGCCAGAAATGCGCTAATAACGACGTTGCACGACCTCCATGTTATATACATACCCAAGCGTACGGTACCATCTCATGGCATGCAAGAGATATTTTTATCTACTTAGCCACAGAACCAAAAGGAATAGCACAGACTGTCAGTTGAAATAATATTAATGTACGTAATTACTTTGTACATTTCAATGGCATTTATACACCAAGTCCTCGTCATACGGCCTGTGGTTTGTACATGTTCAAGAAATGATAACGTTCAAAACTACTGATAGTTCTGACATGCGCAAAAGAGGCGTGGATAAACGCAGCGTGAGCGCAATTGTCCGCGCGCGTGCTCGTCACATCTTTCATTGTTCTTGCCTAGCGACTGTGGAACATATACATTCGATCTGACAGCGGAAAGGTATATAAACCCCCGGTGTTTAGCGGTTTCCCAAGAAACTTCGTTTTACTACTGACTAGTAGACTTACTTCGTACCACTGGATTTTTATATCTGCAACTCAATCAAACTTTTCGTACATACTACAAGTAACAAAGACATGAAAATCTTTGCAATACTCATAGTGTTTACTCTGACTTTATCGGCGACGTCTGCTAAGCATCTTGATGGCGTTATTAACTCTGGTCAGGTAAAAGATTTGACTACACGCCTTGTTTATTTCTTTTCTACAGCTTAATTTAAGACGTCGATAACGCAAATTGCTTAGGTAGGCCTATCCTTTTTATTTGTACGATACAATTCTCTATTACAAGCTTTGATAAAAGTTTAATAGTTTAATTGCGACGTAGTGGAAAACGATTAATTTAAATTCAAATATAAATGACATAGACCGACTTAGACTGGTAACACACAGTCTAAATTTATATATATTTTAGGATTTTGTGTTCTTGACTCGGTTTGTTTTCCAACCTGATGAATATGGCGAGATGGATTACACTTTCACATACCCAACGGTAAGATATGCTCTTTAATTGTTTTGATGTGCTTATAATTTTATATCTTAATATTGTAAGGTTTTCTCAGTGATATCTGATCATTGTTTATAATTGGGACTATATAAATCTGTAATATTTTCAAAATTCTCAATGTTCGTTTTTATTCAAAAGTGTATTAAACTAGTAAAGTGTTTGATGCTATTATATTGTAGACCGAATGTTGTTATCAAATGCTCATCTTCAATGACGAGCCGGGACAGTGGCCATACATAAGAGATCACGAGGATCAGCTGGTAAGATAAAGACCTGTCCAGACTATCAAATTTTAATAGACAAATCATGTGACATGCCTAAATATGGGCAAACAACAGTTTTTTTTCTTTTGGTCAAAGATAAATTTATAATCTGGAGAGGGCTTTGTATTGTACATTTTAAAACAATTAAAACAAATTTATCGAATAAACTATATTATTTTCAAAATGTCACTTACTGTGACAACACACCAAGACCAGGCATTTAATTCTAGGTTTATATACCACATAAATCATGTATTTGTTATAGTTTTAAAATTATATTCTCATTATTTATATTTTTCTAGGATTGCTTGGACAGGAAAGAATTAATTCCTGGTCACTACAATGGCAAGGTGACACTCAGCACCTCACAGAACTGTGACATCCGAATCAACGATAACACAGGGGCAGAGGTAAAGAACAACATATACTGTATTTGTTTTTATTATTTTATGTCTCATTTGATTAGTCGTAATTTAATTAATATTGGAGGGGTTCCCCCTTCCCGTGTAACCAAAGACAATAACTTCTATATAAAATATGCATACACTTAGGAATTTTACTGCCATGGTACACGTCACTTTGACGTCATCAAGGAACGCTGGTGGTACATTGCCATTGCACACTGCGGTGGAGATGGAATTAACAACTTCAAATACAACATCGATTTGTATAACGGCAAAACAGCATTTGACAAGAACTTCTCAGCTGACGAACGATGTAAGTCTATTAAATTTGTTTTCTTCTTGTGATTTTGTGATTTAATACAAGTCCAAATCTTAAAGAGAACTACAGTAACTATTGTTTTGGTCCCGAAGGTGTCCCTCTGTATTATTACAATGGATCTTTCCGCTAAGCCACCTCTTGGATATTGTTGCTAAGGTCCACAGATTGACAGTCTAAAAACCAAGGTAATTGCCTTGGTAAAAACATACGCACACACCTGCATTTTTGGGGACAACACGCGTATTGCGGGCCCTGTTCTGATTGGTCTAATGTTAAATTTGATTGACACTCCACGTATTATATAATGTCACAGCCCAACTGGAGCTGGAATAAACTGCCTGTAAAAGCTGGTGCAATAAATTATAGTAAAATTTAGTTTTAGGTATAAAGTTTATGTTTTACAGTATTTTATTCATGTCAACATACAAGTCTACAAAACTATTTCAATGTAATTTTTTATTGTACTTTTGCCTACAGACATTCTCCAAACTGACATAGCATTCCTTGGACTTTACCTGATCATATGTGGATGCCTTTTGAAATGCAGAAGTAAGTTAAAACATTATCACTTATCATTAAAAAAATACTAAAAGCAAATAGATTATGTTGCCGTAACAGACATGATAATATTTTAATTGTAGAGCTGATGTTTCAGCGTCGAATGTTAAACGCCATCTATCGACTTTTCTGTTACTCGTGTTGCCTGCAGACCATTAGCCTTCTTTTCCAGACCATTGCTTTAGGAATGTACGCCAGTAATGGTGTTGGGTTGGAACGTCTACGAAAACTTGGTAAGTTGGTCGAAACAAAAAAAGTTTAAATAAGTTACAGATGTTGTACTCAGATTTACATTTAAATTGCTGCCAGAAACGTAAGCTGGGTAGGAATGGTGATTTCTGTTACAGTACACTAAAATAAGAAAATTGAAAACGTCATTAACATGACGTTATTTTATTGGGCTTATATTTCTTTCCAGGCGAAATGATATCATCCGTATCGACTCTCCTTTTCGTCCTGTTACTCATCCTCGTAGCTAAGGGATACACTGTAACTCGGTATGTAAACATATAAGCCTACTTTTTAAGCCTGTTTTTCCCTTGCGAATTTATTCACGCGAGTCGAAAGCGGTTGTTCATGCGCATGTGTATGTATTCACATTTCTATCGGAGCTTCGCTTCAGCGAACTCGGTAGTTCGAACTGTTCCTACTTTTTGCGAAGCGAAAAAAAGTGCGCAACCAATCAGAGCTCAGGAACCGAACCGAGGCCTTCGATTCGCGCGAATAAATTGGATATTGGAAAACAGGCTTTAGGCTATTGGCGTAAGTTTACTGTATATTAAATACAAGGAGGGCCACAATAAGGTATACCCGAATATAAGCACAAATTGCACATACTCGTGTCTTACTCTTATGTTTTGTTGTCATTTACAGTGCTCGCTTGAGACCGATTACCAGTCTTAAGATTGCAATCTTCACTTGTTTTTACTTTTTTGCTTACTTTGGACTTTACGCCATGCAACAATTGTTCTACGACCCACGAGATGTTGCTAATAAATACGACTCATTTGCCGGACTTGGAATCGTCATCATGCATTTTATTGGTAAGAATAGCATTGGAAAGAGACAATGTAGGACAATGTCCGGTCATATAGTTTATTTGAATATTAAACTACCTATTTATTACATTAAAATTATTTTAAAACACGCTGTTGAGAAATAATACTTGCTGATTTAAGAGTTAATTAATGAATATGGACGGATGCATTTTAGGACTGGCTTGGATGTACTACGCTTGTTTCTTCACCATTAAACATAATCGTAGTAAGGCTGTGTTCTACATCCCATTCATTGTCATCTTCACGCTCTGGTTCCTCGCTAGCCCCATCACCATCTGGATGTCGAACGAATTAATTGCAAAATGGAAACGGTAAGATCCTTATAGTCTTTCTGTTTTTGTCAAATCCATAACTAGCAGGGTGATGGCAGTGACAATGTTCTTCAGTATAGAAGGACATTATTCTCCAAGATTATCGAAGTACAGTATCTCTACCCATATTTAATAGCACTATAGCATGAGTTTTAAACTGTTATTTTTGCTTTTCTTCAGAGCCAAAATTGTCAATGGACTTGAAATGATTGCCATATTTTATGGTCACGTGGTATTTCTTCTGTTGACCCGACCTGCTGCCAACAACCAATACTTCCCATTCCATCTGACTATAAATACGGTAATTCTTCCATAGAATTATACAGAATAAACAAAAGTTAGGACTCTGAAAGCATCGGTTGAATAATATGGTAATAGGTAGGCGCTTTATTATTATCTTAAAAAATAATTTTAGTGAAATTTGTAGCAAGCGTTTTACTGTATCATGAATGGCAATTTAATTGTTTCAATTAAAAACAGGTTGGCATAATGAATGACGACGTCACTGATACTAGTGAAGCAACCCCGGCACCACCAGTGTTCTCATCTCTATTCAATGCCACTCAAGCCAAATACGTGAGTAAATTAAAAAGTATTTTTTCCAACTTTGAAGTTGTGATATCAAGTGAAAACCGAAACAAAAAGAGTCAAATATAGGCCTTTGTAACACATTCAAATGAAAATGTATAGTATCAATAGTAAAACAGAATGTTCAATAATAAGCAATTATAATAGTTGCGTATCATACACTAGTGGAAATTCAGGCCCGTAGCCAGGGGGGGGGTTTTATGGTTCGGGCGAACCCCCCCTTTTCTAGCGAATTCCCCTGTTTTCTAGCGAACCCCCTCGAATTTTTGAATGAGTCCCACCCGTTTTTAAATTTTAGCCTGCATTACAAGCCTACATTCATAGGATATGTCAGCTTTAGAAGTTCGGAGATTTAAATTAAAACGCAATTCCAGCAAACCATGACTTTACGATGGCACACATAAGAGATGGCAAACATCGATAAAAACACGGCTGCCGTCTCAACTTTCACTTGCCTTTGGCTGAATGTTTGTAAGAAATGTACCAACCGGTAACGAAACCGGTCGCCGTCTACCTAGAGTAAATGGTGCCACCAAACGAAGCTAAAGTTTTGCGACTTAATCCACCAAATGCAAATAAAGTTTTGCGACTTAATCACCTAAATGTGGATTGTATGGTTAGTAAATTCCATAGCCATACTGTCCATCGCACACACTAAACTATGTGCTGATGGAGCATTTTGGGGAAATGGACTCTCCTTTTTTTTCCATCCCAAACAAAATATTATTAATAAATCAACATAGTCCATCTCAGTCATCATAGCCAGTCTCAAAATTAGGCTAGGAAGTTTGTTTTAAACAGCAGACACGCTACAGAACGGAGTGCGTCAAAACGAGTGTTTGTTAATGTTTAGTGATAAAGAATCATGAAACGTTGTAGAATAACTGACTTTTTTTCGTCCGCTGTTGCAAAGAAAAAAACGACAGATAGTCCTGGTGGGTTATTGATTTTAAAATCAATTAGCCTAGCCTAGATGTTGACTAGCTAGATTCGCTCCTTGTTCATTTAGATACATTTAGAACGTACTACAGGTAGGCCTACTAGGCCTAGACTTTTGTTGTAAAAGTTGAAGTGCATGCGCCATAGGCCTATATTTAAAAAAATACATTTTGTTAATTATTATTGGTTGGCCTGGGACGGACCTAGGCAGGCAGGCCAGCTTTACCGTCGGAAGTCCTGGATTCGACGATGACGTCCGTGCACGTTTACAAACGCCATTGATTAGAATGAAAATAGACGCGCTAAATTTCGGGTTTTTTTTTTTTTTTTTTTTTTTTTATGATAGAAAGAATTTATCGAACATTTATCTACATAAAAACAAGAATAATATTGTAGAAATTGTATTTCTAAAGATGCATGTAATTCATATTTTTTTTGTAGACAATAAATATTCAGTAAGATATACTAAAAACGATTATTAATTCTGAAATGTGCATCTCAGCTATTATTAATCAGTAGGCTATGTATTATGTTATAAAGTCTTAAAATAATAATTTCGAACTATGCTATATTTTGGGCTCTGACTTAATTTAACGATGGCCCTATCAGTTGTAGTAATGGCAGTATTTGTGCTTTTTTTTTTAGCCATGTAGTAAAATAGTACTATTATTATGAGAGTCAAGAAGAAGTAGTCGAAGAAGAAGAGGGGGAAAAAGAAGAATAGCTTTTTTTTTTTGTTTTATAATAATAAACGTGTTGAGTATATTGATATTGATTATGCGATGAGCTTTTTTTTTATATCTTTCGGTGTGATTTAAACATGCCAATTCTCAGAAAATAATTTCTAATTTTATTATATTACCACCTTTTCATTACATAGATCTTTTTCAAAACATAGACCAAACTGCTTTTATAACATTATTATAGACCCATTAAACACAAAAACTGCCACCGTGGCTCCAGGCACCTGAACCCCACCAGGGGTGGCGACAGCGGGGGGGGGGGGGCGGACTCTAATATCGATTTAATAAGCCTTTGAAACCTCTGAATTGTCAAAATTTTCGGGGGCTTCACACCCAGGACCACTTTTGGAACCTATTAATTGAAGCTCGACCACGCCCACTTTGCTTTCGTGGGGGAAATCTGGCAAAAATTACCTTTTGTCTGTTTCCAGGTGACGGAATCTGAATGCCAAGAAACTGTAAATGAGTCACTGGTCGTACCAATCAACTTCAACAGGCATACATCCAATGGGGTTAGTATATAATATATTATTAGTAGGTCATAGACAATTGAAAGCCAATATATTATTTGAATATACAAAGTGATTCAAGATAGTAAAATACTACTCTAAGTATCAAAATGCACGCCATCGTGTCGGGATTCAAAGTGATTCAGTTTTCCAATATTGTGTAGCCAACTAGGCAATGCGTTTATCTTACAACATTGTTAATAAATTATATTTATATATGAACTTGTTTTTATTGCAGGATGCTACAGTAAACAGTCCGCCTTCTTCTAGCGATGTCAAACTCTGCCTGTCAGCCAAAGATGCCGCACTTTTACCCAAAGGCCGTTTTATCGTCGTCAAAGCTTTTATTGAAGAAGTTTAAATTCGTAAAGAACTATCATAGGGGGAATTTTGCATTCATTTGCCACATTGGAGTTTACCGCGTATTTTACATTGCTCTCAGCTTAGTTGAATTTTCATAATCTATAATAAATTTTTTACAAAGTCTTCACAATAAATTAGATGTCAAATTTAAATATGTATTATGAGTCATGTTTTCATTCAGTTTCTGTTTCTTCTAAAAGGTACACATCAGTAGTTCGACTGAAGAATCGAAGGATAACAACACCGTTATTCACAAACATCCCTATCACACCACATTTCAGTGACATCAGATCTCGTCCTGTTCTTCAGAAACAGATCTTCCAAAGCTTGTTCCATAAAATCGCTACACTGAGGCTGTGACAGTGCTTTCACTGCAATAACTGTCCCGACACAATCGTGGAAAGGCTTCCATGATTTGACCGATAAATTGTCTTCTACGTAATCTAGCTGTCTAGCGATGGCGTGCAGCGATCTTACAGATTCCATGTTCATGATATCATACAACCATATACGGTTTTTAATAGAAAAAAAAAAATATATATATATA